TATTTTTATTTTGAGATAGGGTCTTGCTAAGTGGCCCACACCAAACTTGAACTTGCAACCCTCTTGCCTCAGCCTCTCAAGTAGCTAGGGTTACAGGTGTGCACTAATGTGCTTAGCTTCTTTATTTTTTACACATTTTTCTTTTATCTTTTACACATTTTTCATTTGTCTAATTCACTCTTCACAGTTTTAAAGAACTATTTCATACATTGATTCAATTTTTAATGTTATGATTTTTTTAGCCTGAATGTTTTAAATTCTTTTAAATATGTCTTTTTTTCTCACTTTCTAGTTCTTTCAGTATGGATTTTTCATTCTCTTTAGATATTTAAGTATTTCAAACATACTTTTAATGCAATCTCTTTCAGATTGACCTATTTCTTTCCATTCTGAACGTGGTAATTCTATTGCACCTAGACTCTCCCTGGTGTTAATACATTTTTTAATACAGTTTTGTAAATCTTGGCTGAGAGCTTACCTTTAGCAAAAGTTGACTTTAAAATATTTGAGATGTGAGTGCCCCAGTTTTGCATTCATATACAAAAGGGATCCTATGAATTTGAATGGTGATAGCCAATTGTTTCTATAAATTAGGGTTCCTAACAACATAGGGAGTTTACCTTTAAACCCAACAACTGAAGTACAGACCTAAGAGTTTATTTTCTCATAGAGAACTGTATATATCATCCAAAGTCCAGTACAGATAGCAATCTTCCTCACTTTTTCCACAGCTGAGGACTACAGATATTTTCCTTCCCTTTCCATGCCTGAGGCAGCCCTAAGTGTGCAGGCTTCGCACAGTATTGTATACACTTAAGCAGACCCAGCAGCAAATCATCTGTTATGATAAACATTACAACCTCAGGCCTCCAATTTGAAGTCTCAGTGTATCTTGACATCATTAGCTTCTACATGCCATTCCAACTCTTTGTTTCTTGATTTAGGGTATCTGTGTTGATTTGATGGTTTGGTTTGCTTTTCATTTTCTGTTTATTCCCATTCATTTTTATCTGGGTTATCCATACTTTTAAAAAATGGAAAATGAAGTTAGAGGATACTGGCTGAATGGTATCTAGATGACTTCTGATTTTTTGACTTGGTAAGCATCGAAAGAGGATCTGTCCTTCAATTTTCCTCCACACTTATTCCTCCAAATTTCAGTCTTCTTTCTTCTCCCACTCCATATTTTATACACTAACTTAATTAATGGGTGAGGAAGAGGCCTACAGAAAGAAGATCCAAAGTCGAACAGCACTGTGGAGTCATTTCTTTAAAAAAAAAAACTTCCTGACTCATTGAACCTTCCCTCCCAGTGGTTCTCAATCTTAGAAAAAGCAAAGATCATCTGAGGAATTACTTAAAATGCAGAAATCAGAGTTCCATATACTGAAGCTCTTTGTCAATAGGTCTGAAGTACAGTCTAAGAATATGGAGAACCTGAGTAGATCCTAACAGCCTTATTTTGATTAATTTAGTAACTTTAGTTATAATGTGGGAGATTAAAAACAAAAACACCCTAGACATCAGTTTAATTTAATTAATCAGTTTAATTTATACAGCTATAATTTATACTTTTCCACTAAAAGCAAAAAAAATCTACTTAAGTGTTCTGCTTAACTCATTTATAATAAAAATTTATGAAGTTTCCCACTTAATTGCTTCTGATATCATTTCTTAAAAAGTGTTCTTTTGTAATATTTATTTGAGATCAATCTTGTTTTAAAATGGTGCAATAAGAAATATGCACCACTGAAAACAACTGACATTATTTGGAAAATTCCTGCCATGATAATTTTGTCTCAGGAGAAAATGAAGAAATCCATAAAATTACTTAGGCATTATTTACAGAAAGCTGAGTCAAGAAACAGGTGTTACTGTTGGAATGATGAACTTCTCTTCTTGACTCATAAATTTCTAGTATATAAGCCTATAAATTCTATATTAGATGCTGGGATCACATCAATTTATGTCATTTATTTCCTTTCACTGGGAAAAAAAAGGTAGATGATCTACATGGATCTTTCTAGCTGTTTCACAAACTATAGGCTTTGAGAGCAAATGGAGATATCAGTGCTTCAGTGGATCCAACTTGCACATGTCCCAGCCCTTGGCTGTTGGAAGTTATTCTTGAAAAATATTTGCATCTGTGCAAAGAGCCTGGCTACAATGCTAGCTAGCATTCCACTTCCAGATGGCTATGATTACCACCTAATTATTTTAAACCCTGATTTTATTTCAAACAGTTTACCATTGTCAAGGGTCAGTGCCCAGTATGATATTGCTGAGATCAAATATTTTTGGTTCTAGGTCCCTGGTTACAAGAGTTCAGGAATGGTCTTCCTTAGAATGATTGATAGACCATTCAGCAAAATCCACAGATAAAACAATGAATTCAATATTAAAATTATAATAAAACCATAAATAATTTTATAACAATTATTTAAAGTCACAGTTGTTTGCTTTAAATTTCCAACTGTCCTGATAAGTAGGAAAGCACCAAAGAAATCTATTCATTTTTTAAATTTTTTTTTAAAGAGAGAGAGAAAGAGAATTTTTTAATATTTACTTTTTAGTTTTCGGTGGACACAACATCTTTTTATTTTATTTTTATGTAGTGCTGGGGATTGAACCCAGGGCCCCACGCATGCCAGGCGAGCATGCTACTGCTTAAGCCACATCTCCAGCCCTCTATTCATTTTTTAACTCACTTATTTACTCATTGATTAATTTAACTGATACTTATTGAGGGTTTATTATGAATCCCTTTAAGATCAAGAAAACAAATGGACTCTCTGAAATAATCAGCACCTAGTGGAAGAGGAGAAAATGACATTCTCAAAATCTTATGAAGATATGCAGAAAGGCAGGATGTATTAGATGACAAAGACCAAAGAAAATTCTGAGTATTTTTTGTATCTTTTACATTATTAGGCTGTTTTCTGGGGTTAATGCTTATTGTAGACACAAGGATTTGGAATAAGGGAAATAAATTGAAATCTGGAACTGGATAGAATATACTATTCTGATAAATTCTTTTTTTTTTTTTTTTTTGGTAGGGGCTACAGGGAGTACCAGTGATGGAATTCAGGGACACTCAACCACTGAGCCACATCCCCAGCCCTATTTTGTATTTTATTTAGAGACAGTGCCTCACTTTTCCTGAGGCTGACTTTGAACTTGCAATCTCCCTGCCTCAGCCTCCCGAGCCACTGGGATTACAGGTATATACCATCATGCCTGGCTTGACAAATATTTTTCTATATTAAGTTCTAGTTAATTAGATACAGCACATATATAATTAAGATAGTGTATGTGTGTGTGTATTTAGTGTGTGTGTGTATGTATATATATTTAGTGTTTAGACAATAGAAATACAGATGCCTAAATGTTTTTTTTTTTTATTTTTTTAATGCAACATTTATAAAAAGCCTCAAAAGAATTTAGTGAAAATTACTGAACACAAATTCTAGAGTAAGAGCTTTGTATATTTAAATATATGTAAGATGGTGCATGTATGTGGGGATTGCATATGTGTTTGAGTTTGGTTTTTTTCATAAAAGTTTTGGACCATTATTAATTTTCTTCAGATTTGTAGATTCTCTTCTTTGTACCACAAACCATTTGATTCTAGACCATTTTACTTAGAATTTCTGCTTTAGACCTTCCAATGTATTCTTCGTACTTTTCTACTTGTTTAAAGTGAAATCCACTTTCAGAGTTTTCAAAAATCTGTTGTATATTGAAGGTGTTTTTTTTTTCCCCCTCCAGTAGAATCTATAAAATGTCATCATGGTTTTCACCATATTTCCAAGGACACAGCTGAGTGACACAGGGGCCCTCTGCCTCCTCAAATCTAAGCATCCTGTCACTTTGCCCCTCTCCTCCCTGTGCTCCCTCTGTTCACATACACCTATGGCTATGGAAGTGGAATAGGGTGTTCTTAATGCCTTTAAGCCTGTGAGAGTGATTTCCTGGTAGGACCCCAGGGTATGGAATCCTGATGTTACCTGTATATCATATTAGCTATCTCTAGCGGTTGTGGCTCAGGAGAGTTATTAATTAACTTCACACTGGCTATGATGAGGGCCATTATCATATACCTGAAACATAGTTATTTCCCTCTGTAACCTACAATTGGTTCTAAATTTTTATATATGCTACTTTTTAAAAGTTTGTGCTATTTCTATATAATCCAAACACAAACCTCTCAACAAAATGTCTGAACCCAGATGTCTATTACTAATCCCCTGCAGAGCATGACATGCCACAGTATAGGGATCCTTGTCTTGATACAATAATCCAGAAACTTAAAATCAAGAATCATATATGCTATTTGTCTTAAATTATATATTATGCCAGGCATAGTGGTACATTCCTGTAATCTCAGTGATTCAGGAGCCTAAAGCTGGAGGATCACAAGTTTGAATCCTACCTCAACAACTTAGTGAGACTCTGTCTCAAAATAAAAAAATATAAAGGGCTGGGGATGTAGCTCAGTGTTTAAGCACCTCTGGATTCATTCTCTGGTATCACAAAAAAATCTATGATAATTTATGTTATGGTCTTAGTTTATATATATTTATATATTCATAAATTTGTAATTATGAATTTAATATAAATTTATTCATTTAACCAACCAAGATAATTTTATATAAATAATAAATGGATCCTAACATTCTTTAAGCTCCTTAAATAACAAGTTGTCACTGATATAATTCTACAATATCGATAGAAGATTCACATTTTAACAGAGCATTTCATGCTAGTCTTCAAGAAGAATAATTTTTTTTGAAAGTTAGTTTGTAGACCTTTATATCATAATTAGGATGCCACTGAATCAAACTTATGGACCTGAAGTGTAGTTTATTTTAAAATGTTCTCTATAATCAAGTTTCACATTTTTTTGCAGAAGTTGTTTAATGCTATGAAAATTAAATATCTTTATTGTGGGTTTCTTCTTGGTAAATGCAGTTTGTCAATAAACAGCAGTGTCTACTCACGTTTGTCTTGTTCTGCCTCGACGCCTTCACTCTCTGTGTCACTTGGCAAGAGCCATGGTTGATGAAGTACCTGTAGTTGCTTTAAAGATTCATCCTGCAAGAAAACAAATTATTTTAGATGAGAATCTAGACTGATATCAGGAGCACCAGTATGGGTGAACAACTCTGCTTTTATAAACTGCATGTTCAAAAACCCTAAGAAGAACTCCTCGGTGATAGAGAAGAGCTGGAAGTTTAAATTTGTTTTCATGTCATAGATATGAGTCACAAAACTACCTTTGTTTACATTTCTATTTTAATAAGATTTAGAATCTTCAGAAGAAATATCTAACTATTTTCCTGTTACATTAATACTTCTATAGCAATGTTAACACTCATTCTTGGAAATATGAATTTTATGGAATAAAAAATTGCATAAAATGTGCCTCTTTCCAAACAACATTTAAATTTCTTTTAATCAGAAAACAGATTAGTAGGACTTAGGGAACACTTCACTCAACTTTGCCCTTCAGTATTCCTTCATTGTCGCCTTCCTCTTCTTTTAGCTTTTTTTCTGTGTTTGTCTTGAATTCTTAGGGTCAAATGATCCTCCTGCCTCAACCACCCAAGCTGCTGGAAGTAAAAGTGCATACCACCACATTTAGATTCTACTCATGAGTTCTGTAAAAATGTTCCCTGTATCCTCTCTTACTGCTCTTTCCTTTCAGTCACTAACCAAAAGTCACCATTTCCCATGTTGTTTTTTGTTGTTCTTGGTGCTGTTGTCATTTGTGGTCCTGAGGACTAAACTGAGCCTCAGGCATGGTGCACAAATGCTCTACCGTTGAGCTATGTCCCCATCCCAACCATCTCCCATTTTGACTGTAATAATAACCATCTGTGAAAAATTTTATGGCCAATTTTTATAATCTCTAATTTTTTCTTAATGTTTCCCTCTGACTTCAGTGTTTTTAGAAGCCTGTATGTTATCATTAGCTTGCTCATAATCTTTCAAAGGTTCTCTCATTTATTCCCAGAGTCTAACTCAAGACCTGTCAGGATCCATACCCATTAGCCTGATCCTCAACCCACACCCACCACCCCGTTGTAGTTAACGGGTAGCATCAATTTTGTCATATCGCACAATCTAACAGGGTGTTTTACACTGCAGTTCCTTATCTCTCTCCAACATTAACACTCTTCCTCCAAGGCTCCAGTGTCACCTCTGCTGGAAGGCTTTCCAGTCCTCCAAGGCCAGGATGCTCCTCCATTCCTTCAAGTGTTTAAGGTACTCATATAACAATGAGTCTATAGTAATCATACTTTCAGTAACCCACTGTCTCCATAGTAGCCTAGAAGGTCCTTGAAGGCATGGGTAAATATTTCCCCTATGCATTTCCTCCATCTATTATAGTACCTGCCACAAAATAGGGACTGAGTAACAGAATTTTATATCTATGTTCTTTCTAAAAACAGTATCCCAGTCTGATGATGAGGAAAAATATCCAACAAATATCAACGGAAGGACAAAAACAAAATATATGACCAATACTAGTCAAAATATTTGACTAGCCCAAAGTCAAAATTGCTAGCGTCATGAAACACAAGAGAAGCCTGAGAAAGGGTCACAATCCAGAAGGACCTAAGGAGATAGAACTAGTGAATCCAATGTGGTATCCTGGATGGAATCTGGAACAGAAAAAAGACATTAAGAAAAACTTGTGGAATGCTGAACAAAGTGAGAAGTTCATTACTAAGAATTTTAGCTTCAGCAGATCTTGAAAATAGTCCGTTCTTCGGATTGAAACTTTATTATCCAATGAGCCATGAGCTCTTCAGGGAAAAGTCCTTGCCTTAGAGATGAGGAGACATTTTTTATTTTAATCTTGTTTAGATTGGGTCAGTTACTTCCCCTCTCGGGACAACATGAAGAGGGTGAAGGTACTAGATTAGACAATGTCTAGTCCTTCACAAGTGGTCCACATCTAGGTCTCCACTCTTCTTTATGTGACTGAATGTGGGAGACATTCAGTAGACGAGCTACTGAAGGGAAAGTTTGCAAAACATTAAAGATTTTCTATATATTACTTAATATAAATTGATATTTATTTGTATGATTTAGCTTAAATCTTTTAAAATGTATCATATTTGATTTGACCTTAGAATTATACAAAAAGCAGTAAAAAACTTTAAAAAACTTAGATTTTAAATTCCACAACTCTAGAGATGATGGTAGAAGTAAGACTTCAAAATTTCATATGTAACAGAGGGAAAAATCACATTCTTTCTTGAATTTTTTTTTTTTTTTTGAAAAAAAAACATGCAGTCTCGGATTTTAAAGAAATACAAAAAATGATGGTTTTGGTGTTTTAAGATAAGATCAAGATTCAGGCTCTTCATGTAAAGCAGAAAAGTTTAAAGTGATCAAAAGAAAATCTCTTTTAAGAAAACATATTTTGAGGCTGGCAGTGTAGCTCAGTGTTAGAGCATTTGCCTAGTGTATGCAAGAGGTTTTTTAAAGGTTTTTTAATCAGCTGTTCTGCACAAATAAACAAACATATAAGTAAATAAAATGATAATAATGATAATGTGTTTTTTTTTTCAGAGCTAGGGTCAAACAGTGTCTCATACACAGTAGGCAAGCATTCTACCTAATAATAAAATATAAGTTATTTACCTTTTGTACTAAATACTAAAATACTTTTTCATAAGAAAAGATGTGATGCATATGTCAATTTCCCCCCACAATAGTTCAGAATATTAATCAGTAGTACTGATTGGTTTCTGGGTTTAATGGCCTTACTCCTGAGAAGATAAGCAGCATCGAACTATTCTTTGTTTATTGTAAATTATAAAAAGTACAAATGGAACATTAGTTAGAAAAATATGTAGTTTGGGAAGAACTTGAAAATGTTGAGTTATTAGAATCATAAACATAGAATAAATATTACTATTAATAGATGATGATACAACTGTTTTACTTTGGTTTTCCCTGGAATACAGCTAGTAATATAATGCACCTGTTTGCTTTATCAGTGCCAATAGGACATGTCCAAAGCTCAGCCCAACAGTCTACATATAATTCTTTTTGATGGGGTCAAGGAGGTAAAATCTTGAACATTTTATACACAAGAGCTGATGCATTCTTCTTTGTTAAGTTTATTCAAAAATTTTCTACAGGCACTTTAAACTATGTCTGAGTTCGGTATAAGCCCTTTCATATTCCCAAGAGTAAATTCTCTGGGCTGCTTTTAGAAGAAACACTATTCATTCTTTTTCTAAAACACTTTCACTGTGAGTATAGCAAATGTCCAGTAACTAGGAGGGGTGGGAAACAGTGACATGGATCATATGGGAAACAGTTGCCAGCCCTGAATCAACATATCATTCTATCTGCTAACAGAATAAGTGCTTTATAAAGTTCAGCTGTATTGTTCCACATGGATAGCTTATTTTTAGATTCTCTAAATGCAATCAGTGATTTATGTCACATGTGGCTATGGAAGTTCTGCATACTTAGAAAGAAAAAAAATGTTTCTTTGTTCAAATTTTCACTAGTGGACACTTAAATTCTAAATTAACTAAGTATTTCTTTCCTCTTGGTATAAGTATGTTTAAGTATGGAAATACATTAGTTTCCACTTTTCAGAAAGACTCGATAATTTTTATTTTACTTCTTTAGCCACAGAATCTCTTAAAACAAAACAAAACAAAGATCCCTGAATCATGGTATATATAAAGCAAAACAAAATCACACTCAATTCTAGATACATTGAATAGACAGACTGCTTCTACTGATGAAGAATTGGTCCTGTACCTGTAAGAAAAGGAAATTTCCTACATATAATTGACATAGTTAAATTAGCAAAGTTTGTGAATAACTTTCTTTTTTATATTTATTAATAAAAGAACCCATACAACCAAGCTGTGAAAGTATGATTCTATAGCCCACTTATTTTAAGAACTGCAAAAGGACAATTAAACTATAAGAAAAAAGAATTCACCAAGTTTGGGGAACTATAGTTTGAAATAATAGGATCTGATAAAAGAAGAAAGGAGTAATAATAAAGTTAGAAAAATATGGTAGATTGTAAGAAACATTGCAAAATTAACTACTCAAATTTACAGGACATATTTGCTATATTGACAATGCATTATGATCACACTCCATCCTATATTCTAACTCATTGCATTTGGTGGTTTTCCTTTCCAAGCAAATTGCAAAGTAAAGTTGCCAAAGACTTGAAAAAGGAAGAAAAACTGTCAGGGGTAGTCAATGAAAAGTCATTTTATAACATGACTTCCAGTTACCTAATTCTATAGAGGCTCTTGATCTTTCATTGACTTTAGCTACTTTATAATTATATTTTATAGACAATTATAAAAGTGCCAAATATTCTTGCCTACATGAAATTCAATTTCATTCTTTTATAGTGCAATTGATTATTATCCTATTGAGATGATTTTATTTTGACAGTTTTTGCATCTATTTATAACTTCACTTCAGCATCCCTATTTGTCTACATATGTGACAGTTTGAATTCTCCTTTTAACATGTTACTTGTTCCCTCATTGATTTATTAGTAACATAAATCTTTGACATGTCTTCAGTTTGCATCTGTATGACAGTACTATTATAATCTTTTAAAAGTTGTTATTGAACAACATAAATCTATTGTTAATGATTGTCAATGACAAACTGATTTTCTTCAGGGGAAAAAATACTTGTTTCCCAGTTAACCAAGCCAAATAAAACTGTGATAATAAATAATAATTGGCTTCAACTTTTAACAAAGAAATCCCTAAGAAGGATAAAAATAAAGTAACTTACTTATTATAGAAGATAATGTCATATGTTCCCCACCAGAAATAGAGTTGGAACTTCAGTATGCTGGAGATCACAGAATACAACACAGGAGAAACAATGCAAACTGGCCAGAAATGATTCTAAGATATTTTGTTCAGAGAATTGATCACCTTTCCATTTCAGATGGAAGGGCTCACAAAATCAAGCTAACAGATTCAAAAGAGGCTTGCCTTCCTCCAATGCTTCTCTCCCTGTCTGACACCCTTAGAGTCTGTGAAGCTGCCACTTGCCCATGACCTTGAGGGTGTTCTGGCCTTCACCACTAGCTTCCCAAAGTTGTTTGTTTATTTATTTATTTGTTTGTTTGTTTATTTATTTGTTTATTTATTTTTACTGTTGGTTGTTCAAAACATTACATAGTTCTTGACAAATCATATTTCACACTTTGATTCAAGTGGGTTATGAACTCCCATTTTTACCCCGTATACAGATTGCAGCATCACATTGGTTACAC